ACTTGGAGGAGGTCATGTGAAGAGAAGAAAAAGCACGTGGGCAGACTTGAAGTGGGGTGAAAGGTTGGCAGAAAACCTAACGCAATGGAGCCGTGACGCCGAAGCCCTATGTTCCTCTAGAAATTAAAGGAAATAATAATAAAGTACACTGTCACTCATTTCAGATTATTCAAAATACTTTACAGAAAAAAGTATATATTTATATACCTAAATTTCATGTTTGATTCACTTCTGGAACATTTCTTCTGGTCCAATAATCACAAATCCCAAAGTTCCATCAACTTTCTGTGAACAGTTTCCAGTCAAGGTTGTTTTTGTTGTTGACAAAATCCATTTGTTTAGAAAAAGCTGCATTTTTCTTATTAGGTAGGCAACTATTTCATGAACAAGTTAGTAGACACTTTTAGTTTTATACCTACCTGTTTTACATGTCCTGGTATCCGTGGTGAAGAATTATATACATTTCATTGTTCCTATCTTCTAAACACTCAAATGCAGTGGATTTTTGATATTTAGTCATTTCAGATCATTTTATTGTAGGTTTTATCGCAAATTAACTCCGCTTAGTGAGGCCACATCCAAAACTGGGTAGCATTAGAAAACTGTTTCGTCCTAGTCTGGGACTCTTCATCAATACACACCCATGACTCCAACGGGGATCGAACTGGTCATTTTCAGGTTACGAGACTGCGCTCGTTGACCATTCATCCACTTGGAGCGGAATTTGAAGACCCGTCATATCCAACTTTGTGAATTCATGATATAACGCTACGACCAGCTAATGCCTTCTGTGATCATCCACTTCACCTTAGCATCGAGAACATCACTGGCCACTAATTCTCGTTACAACCACCAGCCAGAGGGAGATTGATATTTATACTATAGAATATTGGGAGGAAATCTACATTAAAATTAATTCAGATACTTACAAAAGCCAGTAATATAGGTTTGAAATAATCACTCATTTAATCTATAATTATAATAATCAGAAATAGAAAATCTCAGACGTAAACTATTGGAAATAAATCCAATTTTACTACAGATGAATTGTAATACTGCATGAATTAGCATTACTGCTTAGTGGTGATCGCTATTACATCTCATGTCTATTCATCAAGTGGAGATTCATACAAAATTGAAAAGAAATAAAATCACATCAATTTGTAAAGTATGATCAATCCAGTGGAATTTTCCTAATTTTAGTTTATATTCCATTTGCTACTAAATCTTTATTATTATTTGAAATAAAATCAGATAGTATAATGAAAGTCTAAGGAATACAGAATTTTCGGTTGTTCAAACACACTAAAGACAAATAAAAAGAATCTCAATGAATATGTTAGTGCAAAATTCAATGCTTGTTCCCCTTTTTTTATTTTGAAATATGTGTGGAAAAGCACGAGTCATTAGATTTAAACTTGACGGCTAAATAACAGTGTAACCACTGAGTGACCTAATGATTCTGTGCTTAATTATACTACCAACAGTTAGTGAATGAACGCTGTTGAATCGTCTTAAAAAATATAGTGACAGTAGTACTTTTAGCGTACCCACTTTTCCGTAAAACTTTCATTCAAATGTGAAATACTTATATCAACTTGGCTATACGATGTCAAAGAGATATTTATATTCAACTTAATCCGCACCAATGTTTCCAGAAGAATTAAAAGTAACTTCATCATAGGTTATTCCCCATAACGATTCTATTCAAATAAAATCCTAAGTTAAGACATCTGCATTAAACACTACATTCAACTGACCATCCTACTAGATTCAATCTATGGTTTTATCTCTTTATCAAGGAACACTCAATAATAATTTCAAAACTGTTTGTGAAGGACTGTGTGCAACCTTTAAAATTAGTTAAATTTATCATCTAACATTTAGAGCAACACATTTAAGCGAACAATATTGTTGTTTTCAATTAGATCTCATCAGGCTTAACTCTAATACACATAAGTTTACGATTAAAAATTCAGATATAAACCAATCATAGTGTTATGTCTATAGGATAATAAGATTGTGAATATAAATTGTGCAATTATTCACAATAGTAGTAATGATAATATTAATAATAGTAATAATAATAATGGTTTTATCAATAATAAGGATGGAAAAGTGAGGCAATCTGTGGTAACACGAATAATAAAAAAACAGCATGATTAAACCAACAAATGTTCAGGTGGAAGTAGTCGATAAAGGCCAGTAAAAACAAATGAACCGATTAAGTCAAGTAGACCAAAGACGTGTATACAGATCAGTGACAGAACATCCAGTCAATTCACGACATTCAGCGCCATTCGAAAAACCCTTCAAAGTAATATACAAGATTCAGTCAGACCTATCAAAGGGAGTGAAATTAAGAAATCTGGGCATGGCTGAGGCACTAGCTATCCAAAAGCTCAAACCCACGCTTTGTATTCAAAAAAATACGTCCAACCCCTGTCCCTGCCATGGACATCATAAATAGGTAATTTTTTTAGTAATGACCATCCCATCGCCCTTTTTATTTAAACTTCCTGTTTATTCATATTATTTTTAAGTTTTTCTTAATCCCTGTTTACACTACCATATTTTCATACCCGAACTTCGTGTTTATTTCGTCATTTTACTATTTCTACATATTTAATCCCTGGTTGCATAAACAATTATTCATCACACTAGTTTTTTATCCAAACATCGTGTCTAATTTTGTCATTTCTACATTTCTAACTCCCAGTTGCACAATGTCAATCTTCTTAGTAATTTTGATGCTACTTTGTTTGAGTTTTATCCGCCCCCCTTGTTTATTATGGGATTCTAATTCCTAATTTTAATTTTTATTAATTTGCCCCTTAACCGGAAATTATTCTGGAACTTTCCCATCCATTCGATATAAATACACGAATGTAAGTCTAGATGATGACTTCGTCGAAAAGAAAATTTTTTTCGCTGCAACTGTCTTCTTAATAACTCCTATGACCCAATGTGTATATTCTGTGATGCTAGACTGTAAGGGAAATAAATGAAACATGTTTTTAATGAAGATGTGATAAAGTTAAGAGATGATAAGAGAGGAGTTGGAAATATAAGTAAAAGGTGGTGGAGAAGTCATTAGTTGGTTTTGTCTTAATAAGCCAAGGGAAAGATAATGGCTGTACGAACTTCTTTTGAATGTATAGTTTAGGTTTAATAGTTGTTCGAATGCCTATCGCCTCAGCTGTGTGCAATAGACGAATATGACGTCTATTGGAAAGATTCAGTGAGATACGATGAATTACCTTTAAAGCTTTCGTTTTCTCCACTACATGACCACTATCAATTAAATATGAAAAAATTGAGCTACGGATTGTTTTTATCTGTCCTATGCCAAACCACGATGGCGGATGTTTACTAACACGTTGGTTGAGCTATCTAGTAGTACGCCCAACATAACTGTCACCGCAGGTGCGGCTGAATTGATAAATGCACATAGATGTGGCAAAACTGTCTAGCTTATCCTTCGTTTGTGTCCCAATCATTCGTCAGTTACAGAATGACAAGCATAGGTATGCTGAATAAAACGTTCTTCGTATACTTCTGGAAGGTCTCTGGAATAAAATCTTACTTGACAAGTCACCATTAAATTCTAACTTAATAAATAGAGGTTTTTACGTGCATTCAGAGTCTCAGGTTTTTTCTCTGATGTTTTCATATGTTTCTTTACGAAACTACTCGGATAGCCCATCTCCGTCAAGGAGTCGTGAATATATTTAAATTCCTTTTGTAAGAGGTCATCCGTACATATCTTTCTTGCTCTGCTCGTAAGGCATTTAACAACGGCAGGGGATCGAACCTCGGACCATGTGCATGGTCGGCGAGAGTCCTAACCGCTGTGCCACCGACGCACGATTGGTGGGGTTTATGATAATGCTAAACCGTTCTGTAACTTTAGACATAACTCCTCAAAGAATAAATCTGGTTTTTAGCGTAGTTTGGTTTTCAAGCAAGAAGCAATGTTTGTTGATAATGTTGCATGCTAAAGAATATAATCACTTTTTCCCTATTTCTATTAGGGACAAACAGACAGTAGATTTTTTTAAAGTTACCTTCATACCATGTCTGGAAGAATGACACAAACTGATGTTTGAAATTATGTTACTACTCATACCTATAAGCCACTGTGTCAATCAAGATATAAAGGGGTTTTAATGCAGTAACCTGTGAATTTGATACATTTATAAAGCTTACTGTTTCCAGTGTTCACAGTCCTTAACAAGGGCGACGTTTTTAAATACGAATAAAATATGATTCAGATCAGAAAGTTGCATGCAGCATACTGGTTATAGAGGTGATTAGTTAGAAATCACTAAAGTGAATCATTAATCGTCAGTGATCGCAGTGTAACATTCTGAACTGATACACTTCTATCTAAGGTACTTAGTTGATCTCATTATGGGTAAATTTTGTTTTGATAAAGTCTCACAGTGTTATACAGTAATGTTTACTGATGACGTTTCGAGCACAATTTATTGCTCATAATCATATCAAGGTAATCACACGTGTGATTACCTTGATATGATTATGAGCAATAAATTGTGCTCGAAACGTCATCAGTAAACATTACTGTATAACACTGTGAGACTTTATCAAAACAAAATTTACCCATAATGGAATTACACTCTACCACAGTGCACAAGTTTTATTCTTATATTAACTTAGTTGATCTGTCCTTCATATAAATTTGGTATTGACATGTTCGTTTAACTAAAATAAACTCCATTATTATTGTGTATACTGGAAAGTAGTTCCATTGTTACTAGTTTTCCGCTGATACAAATAAGTTTATTCGCTGAGTTTAAACATTTAGATTTCAAAATGAATGTAATTTCAAAACAGTTCCATCTGACATTCATGTAACCTCATTTCATTTGATGTGAGTAGTGTACACTTTGTTATAATAACCCAGTCTTGTAGCCGTTATTCAAAGGTTTTTAAATCGAATAAATACACAAATGAAAATCTACCATCAATTCACTCACCTCTTTAGCAAAACATTGTTGATCACATAGATTCAGTGCTTCACATATACTTTTAATTTTTTCGCAATATTGTCCTTCAAAACCAGATTGGCAAACACATCCCCCAGATGGTGTGCAAGTACCACCATTCAAACACCGTCCAGAACATTCTGTCTCACGTTTTAACTGTTTTCTACAAGTACGACCATCGGATTGTAGTTCGTAACCAGGATCACAAAAACATTGATATGATCCAAGAGTATTGATGCAACGATGATCACACAAATGTTTTTGACCAATTTCACCTAAGCATTCATTTATATCATTTTCACAACGTGAGCCTTCAAATCCTTCAATACAAGTACACAGTGTTTGATCTGTGTCATTTGTGAATACAGTACGACAGTTTCCATAGACACAATCAAAACCATCTCGACATATACGTTGACATCGTCTTGGATTGCTTGGGCTTGGTTCAAATCCGTCACTGCATTTACATACATATTTACCTTCACCCAAATCCACACAGATTTGATCACATGGTTTAATGGAGCATGAATCCACGCCATGCTTGCAACCAGGTCCTGTGTACCCTGGGTAACACCCACATTTGCATTTCCCATTCTCCATAACGCAGTGAGGGGGACAAGAATTTGGTTCACATTTTGATGGGTCTTTTGTAGATATTTTATAACCAGAGTGACATGAACATTTGAATGAGCCAGGGACATTTATGCATTCATGCTGACAATTGTGCTTGCCTTCTTTACACTCATCAATATCCGTCTCACACGACTGCCCTTTAAAACCAGAGTGACAGAGGCATGTCCCATTGGATAAACACTCACCCTGTCCATGAACACATTCAGGATTACACTTATTCGGAAGACATCCACCTCGATGATCCTGGTGGTAGCCTTCATCACATGTGCAGTAGTATGCTCCATAAGTGTTGACACATCCTTGTACACAAATCTTGGGTATTATTTCACATTCATTTATATCTTTGGAGCAGTCAGGACCTGTAAAGCCATGACGACACACACATTTCCCGTTACGGTCACATCTCCCGTGATTAGATTCACATCTTGAGCTACATTTAGAAATGCATACCAAACCATCGTTGTTTTGTGCTTCGTAACCTTCAAAACATTCACACTTAAAAGATCCATGTGTATTAATGCACCTTTGAGGGCAATTATGTGTTCCAGCTTGACACTCATTTATGTCTTCCCCACAGTCTATTCCAGTGAATCCTGGTCTACAAATACATTTACTGTCATCTGAACAAAATCCCTGGTTTGGAACACACCTAGGATTACATTCTACAGCATGACAACTCTTCCTGTTGGTTGTGTCCAGCTTATAACCTGAATGGCATTCACATAGATAAGATCCAGGGGTGTTAATACAAATGTGATCACATTTATGCGTACCTAACCTGCATTCGTCTACATCTGATTCACACCATTTTCCTTCGTAACCTGGAAGACACTCGCATATACCCGTTTGTTCACATTTTCCTCTTCCAATAGGACACCTTGATAAGCACTCTGATGGTTTACACCTTCTTGGATCCTCTTGAGAAATTATATAACCATTTTCACAGGCGCAGCGAAATGAACCGTAAGTATTGATACAACGTTGTTCACACCCACTCTTACCACTCAAGCATTCATCAATGTCGTACTCACAGTTAGTTCCAGTAAGGCCTGGTGGACACCTGGGTTCTATTTCGCAAGACTCTCCCGTGAATCCAGGGTAACATATACATTTCTTGGTTTCTGGATCACAGTGACCCCTACCATTGCATCCAGAGGGGCACTTGAATATTTCTAAATTAACTGAGACACAGGATGATTCATTATTTGGCGTTGACCAGGGATTACACACACACAATACATCCAAAGGTTTAGAACCATTCATGACACATCCAAAACTACAGTCTAAATTAAACCTCTGTTTACATACTGTTGAATTCATTACACTGCATGGCTTGCCTTGATTACCTTGTATGCATAATGAATCATTCTGATAACATAGATTAGGCCCAATACATGGAGGTTGCTGAACACAATTAGTTCCACCTTGAACAGAATAATCACATTCCGCTGGGATGCAAAATGGTGGTATACATTCATTAAATTGTCCAGCACTCTGAGACCATAAGTAAGTAGAACTTTCAGTACCCCATTGTCTGGCATGTGAATTTGGTGCATAGCCCCAGTATTGTTCTTTTTCATTCCAAACATGATTTCTTCGATTAATTGGTGAAATAAAATTCTTGTTAGTATTTTCATACTTTATGCTATCCTGTTCATTTTTGTTTGAATTATCTACAGGTGATTTGTCGTCTTCAGGATAATTACCGACAAAGTCATTAACTTGTTTGTCAGTTGGCGATTGATTTCTTCTCCTATAATCATCAGGTTTACCTGAATACTTCCCAGATAGATAATTATTTCTCCACCAATCCTGAGAATATTTTCTTATTGGATTTGAATGATAAGTATACACTTGATTGGAATTTTCTAAATAGGGTTTTTGATGTCGCTGGTATTCATATGCAGTTGGTTGTTGGGATAAATGATTTCGATAGGCCTGATTTCTGTAAGAATGATGCCATGGATTACTGACTTGAGAAGAAGTATATCTAATACCTCTTTGTACCTTGAAAGGTGATAAAGAACTCCCACTAGGTTGATTATTTCTTGTAAAATAAATACTCGTGCCTTCATAGCTGTTGTTATTATTATTATTATAAGGATTTACACGTTGGTTCCATTTGTAATCAAATTTAGCACAGTTTATTAACGGTGAATATAAAAACAAAATCCATAGTGTTGAAATGAATACAAAACAGTTGAAGTGAAGTGAATTCGTACAAAGATTCACATGAAATTGTAATTTTTTCATTTGAATTTCATTTATTTATTTGTTTATTAGTTGAATATGTTGAAAAAAGCTTTTTTGTTTTATTATGTACCCATGTCGATGAATGTGAAATGAAATACTCAGAAACATTCATACATTTTTTAAAGAAAAGATAATGTAATCAGCCAATGAGATGTATCTAAAGTGGACCAATCATATTCAGATAATCAGTAGGAAGGTAATTGGCTCTTATTAATATAAGATCTAATTTTTGTATCAACTATCAGAAAAGTAAAAAAAAACGTTAGAAAACTGAGTGTGTAGTGAGTATTGTTTGCTGCTGTATAACTTAAGAAATTTTAACGGGAAAATAACCTTTTAGTGAAGTTAACAGTGATGGTATTATAAGCCTTGTGAGAAAATATTCACGATGAAATTTCAAAGCTTAGACAAGATGGAATAATTTCTATCCTCATATTGGGATAACATCCCTAAGTTGTCTCACAGCCCAGTGATTCTGATTCCTCATTCAAACAAAAAGTTTTTCAGATCTGATCACTGATTGACGTCAGTGAGAGAACCATTAGAAACCAGGGAGTACTATACAGCTGTCTGATCCTTGTTTGACACTCATCAGCAGTAATCACCCGCTAAGAATGAAGCTGGCTGGAGTTCTAATGAAAAGTCATGACCCGTGGGGTCCACCAAGCTGGGTGTGAGGATAAATACTCGCCGATGACATCCGCTAACGATGGAGCTAAATATCGCTAATCGATAGAAGTTAGAAATCATAGGTCACTGGACTCCATCCCTGTGGTTGAATTGTCAGCCAGCATGGTCTAGTAGGTTGAAGGTCCTTGGTTGGATCCCCAGCTTGGTCATGGGTATTGACTAACAAAGGGTCTCAAACTAAGACGAAACAGCTGTTCACTACTCCCTAGTTTTCATTGTTTCTCTAACTGATACCAGTATGTATTAAAAACTTGAAACCAGTCAGATCTGTACGAACTAATTATTAATTATAAATACAAATTTCCAAAGGGCCTTATTCTGACGCTGTGCTCATTTGACCTTTTGATGGCTAGTCACCTGTCACACCAGGTTGACACGTAAGGAACACTGCACGACCGCTTCAAATCTACGAATCTGTTGCTTGAAAAGTGAGGCTTTAACTGTGTTCTAAAGCTACCTGCTACTAAATTCTTACAACCTTAGAAAGAACTTGTGGTGACGAAGCTACTTTTGCACAACAACTGAGACAACATATGAGCCTTTTAAGATATCATCTCCCGCGACATCAGCTCAACCAAGCATATATGTCTCAAAAACTTGTGGATTGCGTTCATGTTTTCATACGACACGATGGTGTGAGGAAACCATTTCAACCACCTTATAACGGACCATTGAAAGTAATAAGCAGAACAAGCAAAATCATCACTTAGAAAACAGAAAGATTGAGCGAAGAAATATTTACTTTTCGATTAGATCCTCATCTTTGGCTCTACTCTAATATATATAGCATTTTAATTACAATACAACAGTTTGCCAGTTTGTTAACAATAATTAAACAGTGTCAGTGGGCTAATAGTTAACGAAGAAAATCAATACAGATTTAAAAAGTGGAAATGGTTTTATTGTTACATTTTGCACAACTTTCTAAACATTTTGGTTCGGTTCACAATTGTTAGAATTTTCGAATATGTACAGTTACATTAGCAAACTCCAGAAAACTTCAAAGTCTCAACTCGGGCTTTATACCAGAAAGCATTTACATATTTTTTGTATTCTTGTAATTTGTAATAACATTCCGAACACACGTAAACTTCATTCACCTGCATTCTACGGAGGGGGTATTGTAGTGACCCAATTTACTATTCATCATCGCATTATACTTTCACTATGTAAGTGGACTTTGATTTGTTTGTCGCTCTAAAGATTGCGGCTTAACAATTGATACATTGTACTCGCTGAACTTTTGAATTTTGATTACTGCGAGAATACACGTTCGCACTCCTTCTCAAGCGCCTTTTCATTTATGCTGTGGATGCTGAGTAGTCATAACGTCAGGACACAATAATAAACGCTAAGAAGTACTAGGATATAGGTGTACGCTAGTTTGGTGAAATAGAGAAACACAACCCACTGACTAATTCAATTTACCACCTAAATAGTTTCATTTTACATTTTTGTATTTATAACATAAGTAAATCTTTATATTCTGCTTTTTATATCTTATAGTTTACTAATACCTTTATTTTCACTTACTTTGATCACGTTGTATAACCCTTCCCATAATGGCGTACTCACAGAAACGGCTTCATTCGAAATACTAAATTCTTCGGGTAGATTACCGTGGTTCAACTTTTAACCTAAAAACAATAGTATCTGTTGAATGTATAGTAATATAAAGGTTCACAAAGCAGAATACCATATTAGGCTGATAGCTGACTGCAGAAACATACCAATATGCAAGCTGTTTAAATATGTAGCATCGATATTATTTCTTGTTAGAAATCTCTGTAATTCTAGACAAATTAATGCATATGAAATGAAACAGTGGCTTGTGGAGTCTGGAACAATAAGATTATACAGTTTTTAGTAAGATGCAAAAATGGAAATATTGTCCATAACTTTTGTTTAAAAGGATTGATTATAAAATATACGTAACTTCGGAGTACAGTCTAAAATACAGTGTGCTGCCAGACGCTTCGTCTTCTCACTGGTCCGTACTGTCTACTCGCTTCACTACTAACCGTGTGGTATCCTTTGGATTTTTCACGAACCTCTCATACTCATCCGAAGACTATTCCACAACCGGTTCACAGCTTCTACTAGTAGACGCGACTCTAGAAGTGAACACTTCTGTGGATTATATTAATAATTTGTAGCAGCGGACTTTATCACCAAATAACTGTTAATTTCTATAACTCGTTAACTGTACTTTTATAATGTACTGTTACAATATGATTTCAATAACTTGGATATTTATTCTAACATTTGTTCCGTCATTGAGCTCGCTATTAATTCCCCTACAGGCTATAGGATATACACACAGAAAAGAATGAAAAACAATGACTTCTTATGTGACATATTTACACTTTAATATTCTAATTAATGCAGCTTAAGAAGTGGTCATGAAGGAGTTAAGCATTGATCCTGAACTCATCTTCAAATTTAGGATGTCTGTTGAAGAAATCATGTCGGCTAATTAATCGTTTATAACATCTATGATTTAAAAGATAAGGTAAAATACAGGAATAACTGAACTAGGTGGTAACGGGATCATTGATATCCCCAATAGTGTCAGATAAATGGACAGTTTGAAATTTTTATTGTCATTCTTAATATATGTTGGATGTATGTGGACAGCACACTAGCATTGCTGAAACCTGAATTATTATTATTGTTGTTCCCTTGGGCTCCTAGTGGAACATAGGGCTTCAAATGCATGTCTCCACTTGCTCCCATCTTCTTATGTACTTTCCGCCTGCATCAATGTTAGTCCATACTCTTTCAACCCCTCTTCACACGATCTCCTCCATGTCACCCTTGCACTGACGTCCCACTCACTGCTTCCCTTTCGGGTTCCACTCGAGCAATGGCCTGATGCGCGCACGATGTCACCCAGTGGCCTCCTCAGCTAGCAAGCGTCCAATCCATCTCCACTTTCTCCTGCATATTTGTTTGTTGGCGATTGGTTCTTGTTTTGTTTTGTTTGTTCTCATAGTTTCTTGTTGGTGATTCTTTCCGACCCGGCCATCTGATCTTTATTCAGTATAGAGCGATAGTTGACAGTTAGTTGTTGATAAAGGTCTGCAACAGGCTGTTGAGCTGCCCGCCAAGTTTCTTGTCCGTATAGAAGAACTGACTGACTTGACGTTTGTGTTGAAAATCCGACCGAATTTTGTTGTTGATGCTAGCTGAGTGACGAAGATTTCCAGATTGGTTTCAGGTTGACTGATGAATGTGTTTCTCGTCTTCCCGATTCTCGCTGGATTTGACATCCTCGTCCGTTCCGACTGCCTGTAGTTGAGACAATGCTCCCTAGATAAGTGAATGAAGTAACTAAACTCTTTCAAATCCCTCCCGTTGATGGTGACTGGCGCTGGATGCTGCTGTTGTTGTTGATGTTGTTGGTTTCTTATTTTCATAACCTCCGTCTTGTTTATGTTCACTTGCAGTCCCATCTTCGCTGCCTGCTTCTTCGACCAGTTTGTCGGTTTTCGCTTGTAAGTTTTCGATTTATCCACACAAAAATTCAGCAACAGATGGAATCCCGTAAACTTTCAAGTAGGAAAATGAAGACAGTGAATTAACTATGCTGGAGAGAGAGAGAGGTAAAACTAAAACACGATGAGGGTCTGAATATCCAAGACTGTCACATTTTGATTAATAGTTATACTGTTGTGGTGCGATACGGACAATGTGTTCCAATGGAATTATATACTCACATATTCCCGCATTTCGATACTGCATTAGCAACAGAGCAGGATATATATGTATTTGAACGTCCTATTTGATGTTAGCAACAGAGTACTTTTGCAAAAGTTCAGTGTTGCATTAGCACAGAATATCATATATATCTCATATTTCACCATTCTATTTCATGTCGTTTAATGTGAACAAAAACCACACGCTCAGTGGTTGGTTATGGAATATAAAACTGCATATTCATAAATACTTCAGACGTTCCACATGCAGTAAGTCTGGTGAACATCCATTTTTATTACCACACTACATAAATCTTCTTCCATTTGTTTTTAACATCAAATATATTATTCCGCTGAATATGGACATCTGTTAGATCTGGGCTATAAATGGGCTACATATGTGGAGTACGTAAGAAAATGATTCTACATATTTTTTGTTAGATGTTGAGATTAGAGACATTGTACTTGCTTTTGTTTAAAAAGATTCATGTTGGGATATAGATAACTTCCGAGTACAATAAAAAATACAATGTACTGTTGGTCATCTCATCCTCTCACTGGTCTATACTGTGTAACTGCTCCACTCATAACCACTATGTATACTTCGGATTTTTGCAGGAACCTTTTATCCTCATCCGGAGACAATTCTACAACTGGTACACAACTTCTACCAGTAGACATGACTCCAGTAGTGAACGCTTTTATGGATTAT